CAACTCTCTCCCGCCTTACCCAGGCGGGAGCAGTCATTCGATGATTTATTCCCCTTAAAAAATACCTTTACCACTACCCTGAAAAAATATAGACAATACAAGAAGATGGACCTAAACTATAACTTTTCAAGTAACTGTTTCGACTTGAAGTTAATAACAATAACTTCTAACTTGAAAAGCAAGACCTAGCAATCCACAAAAATACTCGCAGCAATAAAACAGAACGGGGAAAACAATAAAAAGGGACCAAAAATAACACCATCATTTGTAACTTCCCGGCTTTTATTCTGTAGAAGAATGTTTTATCTAGTTTTATAACAAACATCGACACTCATAAAATGCCACAGTTTGGTGATCATCGTGCAAATAAAACGGTTATTGCGGTGATAATGTAACGGCTTGTGAGCTAGGATTGTTATTGTGTTTCATACTAAGCATTGAATATTATGCTAACTACAGGCTACCTGAATGACGGCTATCCACTTTTGGTATGAAACCAATATAGTAAGATATATCGTGTAGAAGGGACCAAATTCGTAGCAGCTCAATGATACCTAAGTATCTCCATGGGACTTCGAATGTGGAATATAAATATAATTCTCGTAATAAAACCACAAAATGGTAGTAGTTCGTTCGATAAAACTCTATCTTAGAAAAGAAAAGCCGTCGCCGTCTCTCAAAACCCTTTGTAATAAAATAATTTTCTACAAACCAAAATAAATTTTATTTAAGATAACTGTAATTGTTATAACACAGCTCGATTACCAATTAGGCAAGGAAGACCTACAATTAGCAATTATACTAAAAGGGCTGAGAGAGATCAAGAATTACCTTTAATACTAGATATAATTGCGTCTAGTCTAGCCAGTAAGGTCACCCAAGATCTAGGTCTGAGGACAATAAATTATATTTTGATGTCACTAAGTGTCACCTTTCGTAGAAATTGTGACAATAGTAACATTCTATTTTGTTTTTGTACTGTTTAATAATAAAACAGAGAAAGCAATAAAATCAAAGTAATAAAGCACTCGAGAAAGATCAAAGGATAACAATTTATTGTACTAGGTTAATATAGGAACGTTGCTAGCAAATATAAGTGGTGTAAACAAGATGAAAATGAAGAAAACAGACAGTGGGTATAAAAGTGTGAAACAAGTTGGTGGAAAATCAGTTTTAAATAAAAATATTTCTGTCTCCTTAACCTTGTACCAAAACTCTTTGTAGATACTGGAATCGAACTTAAAAATAGTACATATTTTAAATAAACTTACTTAAAAAGTACGCAATTTATCTACAATACAAACAATAGTCTCCTACTACTCCGTTTAAGATATCGAACAATGTGCAATGATTTCAATCTCAAGATCGTTAAACCTCCAAAATCTCCCAAGTTCAAGTTTCAAGGGCCCTTATCTTTTCTTCAAGGGAACTGCTTATCTTTTAGTCTTATCTATTAACGATATCACGCTGACTTTGGAGCTCAAAGGTGGGGTAATTGCAGAAAATGCTGACACAGGTCAAGATTTTGTTGATAGGCAGCGCTTACAACACCTGGCCTCTCCCGATATACCTACTCTATATTGGAAAAGATTAGAGAATTACATTGTTTTTATCTAACATCTGACCTTTTTCACATCGGAAAAGGTCTAGTTTTCCATTGTTATCCTCTTATGCGCAACCATGGCATTATAATGATGTAGATAATATTACATGTGTCTAAGTAGTAATGTTTTTGTTTTGAGGCAATGACACAGCAACACTGCAACACACTTAACTGTAAGTTTACCAAGCACACCACAATAAACCGGCTAGCATAACAACCAGATAATGAAGAGCAAAGTCAAAACTTCCAGAAAATGGTAGAAAACAGGAAAATAACATAAATATTAAAATTGTTAAGGCTGTCTTTGTTACAGATCTTGTATAATCTCACTTGTTTGTGTTTACATGTTTCACAGCTCACCCATTAATTGAAAACAAACAAACCGAATGATATCGTTAAATCCTCACCCGAAGCGAGAATTTTCTATTGGAAGCGACCTTTTTGTTATACCTACTATAAATATTATTTCTTTTATCTTGTTGGTTATTCGATTATGTAACAATCATAATAATAAGTGAAACTCGTGGAACAGTTGGTTTTGAAAATTACTACAAAAAAAAAGAAACAAGTAGGATGTTTAAAAATTATCAAAAAAAATTATGATTTACTATTGGCACTGTTGGAAACGCATTAATTTATGAGCTCGGAAATGAAAACTGAAAGCTTCTTATTTTTATTTATTAGTTATTTAAACCTATAGGTAAATAATAAGCAAACTTTTTACCGAGCGGTACAAATGTACAATACCTAATGCATGTTAATAGAGGTATTAAACAATTAAGCCAGCCATAGTAACGACTGATAACTGGGAAATTACTGTTAGGTATGGACGAAACAATGATGAAACATTGACTCAAATTGCAAATAAATATTGTGTGTAATACCACCCATACTATACTTTGATTACCTAAATATTACTGATAATCTAATAACAAACAATAAATTTATCTCTATATGTACATATCATTCTATAATAATACCTACATACTTAGTCATAAAATGTGTCATTTTAATTACAAGTCTGGATTGGAAAACCATTCCAATACAGATCTTGAACTTTCTTGACTCCAAAATAAACCGTCTCCAAACGTCTCCTTAGAGAAATCTATATATATAAAACTCAAAGGTGATTGACTGACTGACTGACTGACATAGTGATCTATCAACGCACAGCCCAAACCGCTAGACAGATTGGGCTAAAATTTGGCATACAGATAGATGTTATGACGTAGGCATCCGCTAAGAAAGGATTTTGATAATTTCCACCCCCAAGGGGGTAAAAAAGGGGATGAAAGTTTGTATGAAACTTTGTCAGTTTTTAACTGATCAGGTTGAAATTTGGCATGCAGATAGATGTTATGACGTAAGCATCCGCTGTGAAAGGATTTTGATAATTTCCACCCCCAAGGGGGTAAAATAGGGGATGAAAGTTTGTATGAGACTTTGTCAGTTTTAAACCGATCGGGTTGTAATTTGGCATGCAGATAGATGTTATGACGTAAGTATCCGATGTGAAAGGATTTTGATAATTTCTACCCCCAATGGGGGTAAAATAGGGGATGAAAGTTTGTATGAGACTTAGTCAGTTTTAAACCGATCGGGTTGTAATTTGGCATGCAGATAGATGTTATGACGTAAGCATCCGATGTGAAAGGATTTTGATAATTTCCACCCCCAATGGGGGTAAAATAGGGGATGAAAGTTTGTATGAGACTTTGTCAGTTTTAAACCGATCGGGTTGAAATTTAGCATGCAGATAGATGTTATGACGTAAGCATCCGCTTTGAAAGGATTTTGATAATTTCTACCCCCAAGGGGGTAAAATAGGGGATGAAAGTTTGTATGAGACATTGTTAGTTATAAATCGATCGGGTTGAAATTTGGCATGCAGATAGATGTTATGACGTAGGCATCCGCTGTGAAAGGATTTTGATAATTTCCACCCCCAAGTGGGTAAAATAGGGGATGAAAGTTTATGAGCCTTTGTCAATTTTAAACGATCAGGTTGAAATTTGGCATGCAGATAGATGTTATGAGTAAGCATCCGCTGTGAAAGGATTTTGATAATTTCCACCCCCAAGTGGGTAAAATAGGGATGAAAGTTTATATGAGCCTTTGTCAGTTTTAAACCGATCAGGTTGAAATTTGGCATGCAGATAGATGTTATGACGTAAGCATCCGCTTTGAAAGGATTTTGATAATTTCCACCCCCAACGAGTAAAATAGGGAATGAAAGTTTGTATGAGACTTTGTCAGTTTTAAATCGATCGGATTGAAATTTGACATGCAGATATGTAGATGTTATCACATAGGCATCCGCTAAGAAAGGATTTTGATAATTTCCACCCCTAAGGGGGTAAAATAGGGGATGAACGTTTGTATGAAGCTTTGTCAGTTTTACACCGATCGGGTTGAAATTCGGCGTGCAGATGGATATTATGACGTCCCTTTAGAAAGGTTTTTGAACATTCTCACCCCAAAGTGGGTAAAATAGGGGGTGAAAGTTTGTATGATACTTTGCCAGTTTTAAATTGATCGGGCTGAGACTTTGCATGCATAAAGTTACTATGACATAGGTATCTCTTTAGAAAGGATTTTGATAAATTCCACCCCTAAGGGGATAAAATAGGGAATGAGAGTTTGTATAAATCTTCTTAGCCGTTGAATTTAGAATCATTGAATCTTTTTGAATTACATTCGGTAAAACAATGATTTAGGACCTGGGTAACGTATGATAGTTTTTTCACAGATGTCTCACGAGAACGGGAACTATGTGTCAATGCCCCAGGACTCTCTAACTCTTAACCACTGAACTTATTCTAGAGAGATTCGGTACAACAATAGTCGATAGAATAGTTTTTATTACTCAAACCTTACGTGATCGGGCACTGTACTGGTAAGATCCCTGCGGGATTATTTTTTTATTGAAACTACGATAAATCATTTCAAAATAGGTAAATCTTACTTGGGCACTGAATTGATTCTGTCAGAAGTCATTAATCTACGCGGACGAAGTCGCGGGCAACAGCTAGTATCAAATAAATTGAACTAATAAAGTTATGAAATATATAGTGCTCAATCATTTATTTATTCACATTTCCCATAATTAGGGAAAATCACAAACTTTCCGGGATGACATCAATGTCATAAAAATTACATTTTATCTTAAGCTGTAACAGTTTAATTAGATAACTTGCATTGTGTACATACTAATTATATAAACAAAACCATGAGAGAGTCTGAGTCAGTATTACTCTAGTTACTGTAGAAACTCACCGATATTACGTCCCAACAAAAAATCTAAAATTTCATTAAAATCTACTTTCTGTAAAACAAAAAGTGACAACAATTTGTTTATTATACCAATTTTCTCGTAATCCATTAACTAATCAACATCATGTCGGCTTCAAAAGTTTGGTCCAAATTTTCTGTCAAAAAAGGTGGTGATACCATCAATCTACGTGTAGTGGATATGCCTGAAAATCTCAGTGATGAAGTCATGAATTTCTACATTAATTATTTTGCTAAGGAAGACTCTGCCTGCAAAGCAGCTGGTAAGTGTTATCTCAATAATAAGTAATAGATAAAATTAATTATTGCCAATGAGTTATCATAAAAAATAACACACCAGCTGTTACATCTCAGACCATCAGACCACCACGGATGGGGCCCAATAGGGCTGATACCGATACGGAGCCGCAGAGGACTTAACGGGTTACCGGGGCTCCGGCTCGAAGGGCAGAAGTAGTCATCCGGTTAAAGGGGTGGTTTTTAGAAGAGTCTGACCCTCTCCCGCCTCACCTAGGCGGGAGAAGTAATTCGATGACTTTTCCCTCCTTAAAAAAACATACCAAAAATTTTTCACTGTGACATATACTATGTCGTCGTCGAGTGAGTAGGTTACCGGAGGCCCAATTACCCCCTCCTCAATTTCCCCAATCCCCAACAATCCTCAAATTGCTAATCCCCAAAAGGCTGGTAACGCACTTGTAATGCCGCTGCTATTTCATGTGTCTATGGGCGACGCCGATTGCTTACCATCAGATGATCCATCTACTCGTTTACTGGCTTCTTCAATAAAAAAAACGTACGTGTAGCATAACGAAACTGCTTAATTTAAGTAGAAAAATAATTATACATTTACACACCATGTACCTATTTGCTTGATTCGGTAAATAAGAAGTATTAATTCGTTGTAGGAGTTTCAAAAAATCCAGAAGCAATTGAAGAATTGCGTGCTACCATGTTTGAATTTGCAAAAGAAAAAGGATTTCACGCTGTAATCTGCTGTTTGGACAACGGTGACGATCCAATCAAGGATTTTATTGGTGCGTCTATGATGGCGCTAGTGTCTAAAGAAGAACCTATGCCTGAGGTAAATTATTAGGAATGATGCTAAAAAAAGAACTGTGTCGAAATACTTACAAGTTTTAATTGTTAAAAACAAAATATACCATGATCAAATCAAATCTAATTTACTCATTCATTAATCATTGTTTGTAAATTTTCAGTTCAAATTCAAAGCAGAAGAATTGAATAAAATGTTTGAATTATATTTAGGACTGGAAGCTTATTACGACGAAGCTAAAGAATTTGGTTTGGACAGTTACTTCAGTGACAGAGGACTATTCGTTCACCCTGAGTACAGAAACCTAAGCATTGAGCAGGAGCTCCTTAAAGTCAGGTTTGTTTGCCTACTCTAGATTATCCTTACTAATAATATTATAAATCGGAAAGTGAGTTTGATTGTTTGTTCCGCTTTCACGCCGTAACTAAAACTACTAAACCGATTGCTTTGAATTTTTGCAGACGTGAATTTAGAGGTCTGGTTTAAATAATAGGGTACTTTTTATCCCGGAAAAAATTGATACTCTCGAGGGAAAACAAAATTATTGGTATAGATGGCGCTGTGTGTATTGGTATATGTCACATAGGCTACTTTTTATTCTTTTGAGACGCAAGCGATGCCGTGGGTAAAAACTAGTTATGTCATAACCGTCAATTTATTATAATCAGGGTTTTAGGACAGGGTCTAGACATAAACTAATTGGTCTACGGATTGTTAATCGACCAAAATCATAATCAGGTATTGTGTTTGACGGCATCAATACATTCAGTTTGGTCTCTGAAAGCATAATTAAACCGAATACACATTTATTTGTTTTGTTTACATCAAAATTGTAAGAGGGCTTTAATAAACTTACTATTACAAAGAGAAGACACCTTTAGGACGTATCACGGTCCTCTGATTGAGAATTATGTTCAAAGTTAAGGCGTTAATTTTAATAGGCAATTTTTAAAGATCACTATAATATTGTGCCTTTTTGCCTGACTGACTGCCTCGTTGGCCGTGTGGTCGCAAGTGCGACTGCCGGGCAAGGGGTCTCGGGTTCGATTCCCGGGTCGGGCAAAGTATTACTAGGGTTTTTAAAAATTCTCAGTAGTAGCACGGAGTCTGGAACTGTGCCCGGTATATGGCAATAGGCTCACCCCTATTACATGGGACTCATAAAATAAATAGTGAAAAGTGGGTGTTACATTGTAGAGTGGCATAATGTGCACCTCTGCCTACCCCTTGAGGGATAAAAGGCGTGATGTTATGTTAATGTTAATGAAATTGTTGGCCAATAAAGTCTAAACCACCAGGGAAGCCATGTGCTCAGATTTTTCATTTTGTAAATAATAAATTTTTTGTAGGTGTCTGATAGCTAAAGAACGAGGTATATCGTTGGTTGGAATGTGGTTAACTACTCAAGAACTGCAGAAAGCTGCTGAAGGTGACGGTTGGGAGTCTGCGTGTGAGGTCAAATATGAAGAACTCGGTCATAAATATGGAGTCAACTTCGATGCCGACACTGTTTCTTGCAAATATATGTTTACTAGAACAAAATGAATTATACGACGTGAAATATTTAAAACAAAACGTTGTTGTTTGTCGAAATATTAAACAAATATAATTTTCTCAAAATGTTTATGTTTTTTTACTTTTGAAATAAAGCCGATAACAGATTGCCTAATCCACATGATGTAAGATAAAATTAGACAATTGTAAACCAAATATTACTATCATATCTTATAATGTAAAATGCTTAATAGGGCCCTAAATTCTAAATAACATAAGACTTATTTTACAACTGACTGATAAGATTGTCAAGTTGCTAAAATTTGCTATGCGCATCTTTGAGCGTCTGAATCCCAGTAGTAAATAGCTAAAAAAACTTTTTGTTTATTAAACATATTATAGTTATCTTACGAATATCACGACACTATATATATAAAGATCAACATGCCTGAGGCTGAATCAATCCAAATGTGGTGTTAATTCTCAGTGAATAGGAAAGATGGCGGTATTCAAAATTTACATAATTATAATGAATAAGCCTAGAATTTGCAGAGTACAATAAAGGTTTTAAATGTAATTATAAATCATTTTGTACTACACGAAAAAACTTTTATTATAGGACACACACGACTACACATCAAGTTATGCAGAACCAGTATAAATTGGCCCTTGAATGTGCTGACAGATCACACAAAACGAAACTATAATAAACTGGTCCTGTATAGCTGCGTGTGTGATATGCAGCAGTGGGTTGGACATGAAACAGAAAAGTTTCAATAATAGTAGGTAACCTATGAAATTGCCGTTTCGAATGAAACAAATTAATGTTTGAATTGTGAATTTGAATTTTGAATTGTTGTGTATATATTTATGATTCATCACAAGCGATGTGTTGGCAACAGACAACAAGTCGGATTAAGATAAAAAAAGAAAAACCTTGTTTTACTTACCTAAATATATAGATATATTATGCGTAAGTAATATCTACAACAATATCATCAATACGTGAGACGTGCAAATAACTGATAAGATTGTCTGTTTACTTATAAATAGGTTTTAAAATTCAATAACAAATATATCAGTCAGTAGTCAATCTTGTATATTTGTACGATACACATCAGAAATATCGAAAAAAATAATTAATTCAAATAATTCAACATGTCTGCGTCTCCTAAAGTGTGGTCTAAATTCTCAGCGAAGAGGAAAGATGGCAGTGTGCTCAAATTACGTATAATGGATATGCCCAGAGTTCCCAGTGTGCAAGAAAAAGTTTTAGACTTACTTATGAAATATTTCGTAACAGAGGAACACACTATTCTTGCAGCAGGTAAGTCGATCATCTGTTGTTATTATATTGTAGGTACATTTCTTGTGGGATAGACGGCAAACGAGTAAACGGATCACTTGATGATGCTAAGCAATCAGCGCCGACTACGGATATCCACAATACTAAAAAAGCGTAGCCGGCCTTTTCAGTTGTTGGAGATTTAATGTACCGAGAGGATATGGAAGCGAGCTGTTATGGAGGGGAAGGATTGGGCCTTTTCTGTGGTACCTTGGTATCCTTACGGTCGAACAGGCCCATTTCTGCCGAAGTGTTTATTTTTTATTTGAACGTTTGAGGCCAAGAATATATTGTCATAGTTTTCCCCAATCATAAATATCAAGTATCAATCGATGTCTTTAAAACATCCTATTTTGTTTTAGGAGTAGCAGACAGCGAAGAAGCAATGCAAGAAATGACTGCAATGCAAAATTATATGTTGACTATGGAGTCAATGCATATTGTCATCTGCTGCTCAGACACCGAAGACGATCAGATTGGTGATATTATGGGATGTTCAATGATGATGTTTACAAAAAAAGGAGACCCAAAACTAGAGGTAACTTTTTATAATTAAAATCCCTTACATGCAATGAAGAAACAAATTGACAACAATAAACATAACATAATTTTAAGTGTGAGAGAGCCATGCTTCGGTACGAATTTGGTGTTTCGGTAATCCGTCTATTCGTTTACCAGAATCCCATAAAAAAAAAAACAAAAATGTTACGATTCTTAATCTCCGAAGGGATAGATAGACGTAAAGACAGAGTAACCTAACTAATTATGATATGTACCAGTATATATAATTATGATAGCACCAGTTATACTTTGTGTCCTTAAATAAGATGTGAACCTATTACCACACTCACACAGACATAATATACCTATTACAAGATTTCTACAAACTTTGCTAGTCATCGTAGTTGAGATGAAACAATGTTAAATATTTTATAATTTGCAATACTATAATTATTTATTAATTCATTTCAGGTGGAATTTAGAACGAAAGAATTGAAGAAACTTATGGAAATAGTCACAAATGGTTTCGGGGAAAGTTACGATGAAATGAAAGTGTTTGATTTAGATCTCTGCTTATACGCTAGGGGGATCAGTGTACACCCCAAATACAGAGGCCTTGGGATCGCTCAGGAATTTCTTAGAACCAGGTTTGTTTTTAATGCTAGCAATTTTTATCAAGTATAAAAACTGTTTTAGAAAAATAGTACACTGAGTCCACCCCAATCACTCTAATCCCCAAAATCCTCAATTCTTATATTCGTACCTATAACTTCACTGGTGTTAAGATCGCAGGTGATCTGCTTACTCGTTTGCTGGCTTATCCCATAAAAAATACATATACCTGTCAACCTCTTTCTACCATATTTATAGGATTTTATTTGTTATTTATATTTATATATAAATAGTGAAAAGTGGGTGCTACATTGTACAGTGGCATTAAGTGCCGTAATGTACACCTCTGCCTACCCCTTCGGGGATAAAAGGCGTGATGTTATGTTATGTTATTTGTTATTTCCAGGCGACTTATTTGCAAGGAGTTTGGTATACCTATTACTGGAGCCTGGATGACGGCAATCGGTACACAGAAGGCGGCGGAGCGTGACGGCTGGGAAACTGTCTGCGAGCTCCAACATGCAGACTTAGAGAAGAAGTTCAACGTCAAATACGCAAAAGATCCACCTTCTACTAAATTTATGATCGCCAGAATAGAACTGTAAAAAGTTTGCTTTGTTGCCACAAATTGTACCTACCTAATTCGTTACATAAGTGATTAATAATTTATTTAATAATTTGAAATTGATTTTTGTAATTGTGATTGTTTTATTCGTCTAATTTAGCACACATTTTATTTGATTTAATAAGAATGTAAAAACGACATTATTTTTTATGGTTTCTTTAAGGTATAAACAAAATAAAGGATTTTTTTATAAATATTAGTAATTTATTTATTATACTTTTATTGCATGCAACAAAACTAAACTATTTAACGTGGTCATTACACACACGTTTTGATTAGTTTTGACTATTTAAAGTAACGTCGTGGTGGCCCGGAGGTTTAAGACGCCCACTTCTCATGCATGAGGGTGCGGGGTCGAAACCTACCAACGGCAAGTAACAATGTGACTTTTTCCGAGTTATATGTACTTTCTGAGATTATTTAGACACCACTGGAAAAACATCGTGAGGAAACCTGGACTTATAATTTCTAATTATAAGTTTTAAATCGCCAACCCGTACTGAGCAAGCGTGGTGATTAATGCTCTAACCTTCTCCGTGTGAGAAGAGGCTTTGCTCAGCAGTGGGCATTTATAGACTGTTGATGATGATTTAAAGTAATCGCCATCAAAACGATTCGATTGTGTACAATCTGGGGATGCAGCTCATTTGCCGACGTATCCTCTAAAAATATACCCCACAAGAAAGTCGATTCTGGAGATAAAGATTTAAAAATTCTACGATAAAAAATTTAATGGTCAAATTGTAGATAGTAAGAAATCTACGGCTACAGCAGTTTTTTTTCATATTACTAAGTTTGTATTCTTCGAGATAATTTGCAACGATATTATGTTCTACACCATGTTCTAAACCGATTACTGAAATAAACAAATAACCTAAATCAAGCATTACTTACATAGACTTTGTTGCTAACATAATAATTGAAATCTACATACGTAATTATTATGTTTATTTATTAACGCAACGTCCTTTAGATATTTTTACATTAAACTGGTAAAACCCTACTTAGTGCACAAATTACATTAATGCAATACACAAAAGTAGACTTAAAATAATCCATAATAATTATGAATAACGATTTAAGTGATGTGATAAGATTGCGTGCTTATAAATTGGTATCAAAAATTCAGTAATATTTGTACCACTGTAAACCACACAAGACAAATACACACGTATGCATAATTATTATAAAAAAAAAAACAAATTCATTTTGAAAATACAATAACTAATCCAGGTTGTTAAACATGTCAGTGGTTCTCAAAGAGTGGTCTAAATTCTCAGTGGCTGCAAAAGATGGCAGTGTTCTCAATTTACGGACTGTCGAAATACTTTTGAATACAAGTGTGATGGACAATGTACTACAATGCTATCTTAATTATTTTGTAACCGAGGAGGCCAATTTTATTGCAGCAAGTAAGTTGATTAAGAATATTTTAATGTAATATTAATTAACCCTTAGGGTTTCACGTCAGTCATCGGCGTCTGACGCTAGCTGATATTTGACTTTCACCTTTTTAAACTTGGTAGTTAAAGTGTTTATTCTGTTGTTATGTTAGGGGTACTGGAGAGTGAAGAAGCAATGGACGAAATGGCACAAATTGTACGGAGCAGAAGTGTGCTAACTGACGACGAACCACATATTGTTGTTTGTTGTTTTGACAACGGAAATGATGATAACATTGAAGTTTTAGGGGCATCGATAATGGCATTAGTAAGAAAAGACAATCCACCACCAAAGGTAGGCACTACACAGATATTCGAAACTTAATTGAAACGATCAAATACCCTACCTCAGACAAGGAACGCAGGATTCAAATTGTTTCAAATCGGCTAATCTGGAAGTCTTTGGGGGAGGCCTATGCTCAGTAGAGGACATCAAATAGTTGGTATAATAATGACGACGTCCTTGTCTAAATAAAATGTTACGTCCTGGGGCAGCTGGTTGTAAGAATAACTGTTGGTTTTATAAGGTCTTCTATTTTTGAATTAATAATTACGAATTCATATTTTTGGGCCCCAGGTGTGGCTTGAAACTAGTCGTAGTTTAACAGTTATATAAATAAATTATTTTAATATGTCTCACGATTATTACATTTCATTATAATCAATAAAAAATTATTTATAGCAGCTAGAATTGAAATCGAAAGAATGTCAGAAACTTATGGAGATAATGGGAAACTTGATGGAAATTTACGATGAAATGAAAGTATTTGACTTAAACCTCTGCTTTAGTGATAGAGGGCTCGTTGTATGTCCTGAGTACAGGGGCCTTGGTATAGCACAGGAACTTCTCAAAGTCAGGTTGGTATCATAATTTCTATAATATAAATGTCATTTCTATAAATATAAATACAAGTGTCCTATAATACTTTTTGTCTCGTTTTTAGTAAGTCATCTCTATAAAGCTAGACTAGTTACGTAATAGTTTGGATAACACCACAAAAATGTTTTTAAGCCAGTGTAAAATATAATAGCAACATTTTGTGTTACTGAAATTTTGCTTAAATAGATGCAAAACATATTTCATCGTATTTTATTCTATTCTATAGTATTTTGATTAGACAGCGTGCAGTGGTAGTATTGTATTTATGTAAAGATTCAATTTTCAGCAGATATGAAAATACAAAAATAAACATGACAAATCAACGATTAAAACTTAACTTTATTTTATTATATTTCTAGACGACTAATGTGCAAGGAGTACGGTATACCTGTCAATGGAGCCTGGATGACGTCATATGGTACACAGAAGGCTGCGGAGCGTGACGGCTGGGAGACTGTCTGCGAGCTCCTGTATGAAGACTTGGAGAAGAAGTTCCACGTCATTTATCCGAAAAACCCACCTTCCACTAAATTTATGATCGCTAGAATATCTATTTAAATAAAATGTTTACCTACTGTCTTTTTTACATATTTTATTATCTTCTTTAATTTATATGTATATTTACCATCCATGCGTAGGTACACAAGGTATTCAAAACTAATTGATATAGAAATCTAAGAAGAAAGCCTAAAATTTTTAGAATTCAAGTAACAATCCAAAATACGTATTATTAAAAAAAATTAAATATTATTTTCTCTTTGAGTCACCGTGGTGTAAAAAGATATGGACACGGCAGGATATTGTTGACGTATTTTTTGTTTTTTATTATTGGCTATTTTATATTGTATTGGCTAATTTTATATTATATTGGCTAAGGCTCTAAAATGGTTTAACACTACAAGAAAATAGACAACAAAAAGTTGTGAAGGGATATTAGTTTGACTATGCACATAATGTAAGAATATTGTTTAATGTTTTTGAATCCAGAAATGATAATAAATGTGGAAACAAAATGCAAAGAGATATATATTTATTGTTATTAAAAAAAGTAAGAGAATATGACAAAAAGAAACAAAAAGAAAGAAATCCTTTATATATACAAATAAATAGAAAGAATATCAATAACAATTACAAGTGCAAAGTTTTTGACTGATTTTACCCCTTAAGCTCTGGACCCTAAAAACGATTCTCATAGTTAATAATAATTTTAACTAATTCATATAAGTCAACTCACGATATTATTTATAAGCTAGTATACCTTTGGCTGGTTTTCCAGGCCCTGGATTACTATCTACCCAAAAACGAACACAGATAATTATATTTATAAACTATCGGTCCGTTGATTTTATCAGATAGTTCTATAAAAGTGAAACCAGTCCTTGGATGATATTTATATTACATCCAATTATTTTCAGGGTGTACTTTATTCATTATAAAGAACAAGGATTTTATTTTGATTTAATTAAATTTTTAATAAAGTGTTCTACGTTTTTCTCATCCTGATATTCCGATGGAATCAGAACCTTCTCAAGTAAATTTTGATTTCTACGCAGGCGAAGCCGAAGGCAACTTTTCAATGCAATTATTCAATATTTTAATAATGTGTTGGTCGAACAACGTTATTATCTAAATGATAAGATTGTGGGCTTATTTATAAATATGTATCAACAATTAGTAACAATTGTAACATTGTAAGTCATTCAAAGTGTGTAATAGCAAAAATACACACTTGTTCGAAAAAAGAACAATAATTAATTTACATTATTCGACATGTCTAAGGCTCTCAAAGTGTGGTCTAAGTTCTCAGTGACGAAGAAAGATGGCAGTGTTCTCAATTTACGAACAGTGGAAGTACCTTTGGATGCAAGTGTAATGGAAACTGTTCTACAATGTTATCTTCAGTATTTTGTGGTAGAAGAAAATACTTTTATTGCTGCTAGTAAGTTGATTCACAATATTTTCTTTTGTTATGGGATAAACGAGCAGGGGCATCACCTGATCGTAACAAATCGGCGTCGCCCATGGACACCTGGAACACCAGAGGCATTACAAGTGCGTTACCGGCCATTTAGGGATTAGGAATTTGGGGATTGTTGGGGAATTAGGGATTGGGAAAAGGGGGGAGGGGTAATTGGGCCTTCTTGTAAAAGTGTACAGTTATTAATACGTAATGTATATAAATATAAATGTTGTCCCCTTCATAATTATTTAAATTTTTGGGTCAAGTAAACTTCTTTTGGGTGATATGATAACTATCGATAGAATTACAAATACTGGTTTACTTAATAAATATTGAGAAAAGTTGTACTAGTTTCAAGTTACAGAGGAACTCTTGCGCGCAGTCTACAGTAGGCTAGGAAACTAGAGAGACAGCTTTTCTCAATATTTAAAATAGCTAATTTTTAATTATGTCATCTATAGTTTCCCGTTATAGACCCCCGGATAAAAACAAAGTTACGTGCAACTAAAATACATCCATCACATCACGCCTTTTATTCCTGAAGGGGTAGGCAGAGGTGCACATTATACCACTGTACTTACAATGTAACAGGGGGTGAGCCTATTGCCTTTTTTTTAAAAACCCGGTGATACTTTGTCCGACCCGGGAATCGAACCCACGCGGAGAACCTAACGGGCAACCGGGGCTCCGGGTCGACGTACAGGAGAAGTAACGGGGTGGTTTTTAGTCAGTAAGAGTCTGACACTCACTCCCGCCTCACCCAAGCGGGAGCAGTCATTCGATGATTTTCCCCCTTAAAAAAAAAAGACCCCTTACTCGTCGCATTTGCGACTATTCGGCCAACGAGGTAGCCTAATTTGCAAATAAAACTAATTGCAACTAAAATAGAAAACTAAATAATTATGATGTACTTAAATAAAAATAAAGTACTTACCTACATAATTAACATTAATTTATTTTTATTCAGAGGTCCCAGAAAGTGAAGAAGCAATGGAAGAAATAACAGAATTTGTACTGAATAGTGCGGGTGAAGAGAAACCACAAGTTATTGTTTGTTGTTACGATAACGATGATGATGAAAACATTGAAGTTTTAGGGTCATCTATAATGACACTAGTAAGGAAAAGTGACCCACCACTAGAGGTAAAATATTACATAAATATATTGGCTACTGAGTACTGTCTGATTGAATGAGTTGAGCGAAATGTACAGTCAAAGATCAAAAGTCCACTGCCATCGTGAGTGATGTTCACACGGCAATGCGTAAGTAATTTCATTTTAATGTGCATAAAATCGCGTGCGTACGCATAAACACACGCACGCGTACGCACACCGATAAAATTATGCGTGTGCATGTGTGTATAAGCGCTGCAGTGCAACCGATAGTAGTCTTACGGTGACTTTTGACCGTTGACCTATGAATGTAGGTATGTGTGTGAAGCGAAATTTTGCAACTAAATTTTGTAGCATCTATCTTCAAACAATTCAGCTGAAATTTTGTGAATACACGTTTAGTTAACATAACAAAGCATGTTTTAAAAAATATTTTAATTTACTTTTGTTTCATTAATAATAAATAAAGTTGAGACTAGCAATTTTATTCTATACACACAGACATTGACTACTATTATTTATCCATTACAGCTGGAATTCAAAACGAAAGAAATGCAGAAACTCATGGAGATAGTGGATGGCTTAGCTGAAATTTACGATGAAGTAAAAGTATTTGACTTAGACCCCTGTTTTAGTGATAGGGGGCTCTTAGTATGTCCTGATTACAGAGGCCTAGGTATAGCACAGGAACTTCTTAAAGTCAGGTTAGTACAAAACACATATCGTGTGTCATCCGGCGTCTTTTTTCCTACACCCTTTCAACACGTAGATCGCCTTTTATTTTTTTTTCAAACCATACTAGCGGAGGATTTGCCCTTAACAGTTTTCTATCGAAACTCAAAGTTTTAACCTCTTGTCTGTCGATATATGAGACACAATAGAAAACGCATTGTGTCTCACGTAGATTTATGCTCCGACAAACCAAAGGTTAATTAGGTCATTTATTTATGTCAATTGACTCCACTATGAATTTTAATTTACCACCACTGTGTATTCTACGCTTTTAATTTAATCCTTCATCAATATCTTTGGCATAAATTAAACAATATAATATGTATCTTCAGACGTCTAATTTGCAAGGAGTACGGTATACCTATCAATGGCGCCTGGATGACGTCATACGGTACACAGAAGGCTGCGGAGCGTGATGGCTGGGAGACTGTCTGCGAACTCCAGTATGAAGACTTGGAGAAGAAGTTCAACGTTACCTACTCAAGAAACCCACCTTCCACTAAATTTATGATCGCTAGAATACCACTTTAAATATATTTATTTGTCTACTTTATTATAAGACCCATTATTTTCCTTAGTATATTCATTTAAACACATACAACACTTGTAATTTATTGTAAGTAAATTATTTAAATTGCATTGTATTTTTTGTTATTGCGACGGAAGCAAGGTTGCGGTTGCTAAGCCAACTCTTTGACTTGACGGCCAGATTTTTGAAACTCTGAGCTTATGAGCTTAATAGTTTACTGCACACCTACTTTAATTATTTTTTTCGTCTCATACGTCCGCTTATTCACGTAAATGTTCAATGAAGTGACTCGTAGGCATTGGCTGCGATGCTCGCCGCGATTATGGGCCCTCGCATTGCCTGAAACTAATCGAAAAACCTCATTAATCAGGTACGATAATACAAATCACAAATCGAACGATATTTTTATCTCAGAATTACTTATAAATACATATTTATCTATTATAACAAAATAACAATGTAATTTTAATTATATATAATATATGCATGCCTTTGGGCAAAGCATGGAGATCTACCTAGCTGTAACACCACACATACATAAAAAATCTTATCGAAATAGATGATGATATGACAAGTTGAGACAGATTCACAGATATTGTACACAGATTTCGAGTAGATGATTCACAAAGGTACCTATGTTTTTATTTACACTTAATATTTTTGACTGATAAGATTACAGTACTATTCTGCTTATAATCAGATACAAATACAATGAACGGTTATTATAGCAGTATTCATTACACTGTTCTGGTGACAGTAATATTAAATTTTCGGCGACTGATTAAATAATTGTGAAACAAATATTTATATTATCATGTCTGAGCCTCTTAAAGTGTGGTCAAAATTCTCAGTCACCAAAAAGGATGGCAGTGTTCTCAATTTACGTATTGTGGATATACCCAAAGATCCAAAGATAATAGAAAAAGCACTGGATACCTACTTTGAATATTTCATAAAAGAAGAACGTACATTCAAAGCAGCAGGTATGTAGATTTTTATTTTTACATTGCTTTTATATTGTTTTATTGCGTGCCTCAATTTATTATAGAATACTCTTTGTATTTTTAATTTAGGAGTTCCAGATAGTGAAGAAGCAATGCAAGAATTAAGAGCGGTGTTTGATTATGGAATGAACTCCGACAGCCAGCAAAAAATAGAGTTCAGCATATGTTGCTTAGATACTGGAGATGACCAGATTAATGACGTGATTGGTGGATCAATACTGATATACAAAACAAAGGCAGACGTACAAAAAAAGGTACCTAAGAATCTCTAATTATTTATAGGCTAATTTATTGCTAAATTCTATCACCAGTCAAAGCTTCGACTTTAAATGTATTTTCAGAAGCGAAAAATAGTTTCCCCAACTTCAGAATTTTTACAACTTTCTTGAAAGTAAACGGACACTGTCGGTGGCTAAAATAAACCTGTAACACCAAAGGTCCACCAAATGCACTGTAGACTAAGTTGCAAACTGCTCAAATTGGATAAAGCAGCTCTATTAACGTAATGCAATTATTAATACTATTATCATTTTCAGCATGTTTTCAAGGCAAAAGCACTGAACAAAGTTTCGCAAATGGCAGAAGATTTAGCAGAAATTTACGACGATATGAGAGCTTTCAATTTAGATCGTTACTTCATTTGTAGAGGAGTCTTTGTATGTCCAGAGTACAGGGGCCTTGGTATTGCCCAGGAATTTTTTAGAATCAGGTTTGTAATTAGTATAACACTTTTTTTCCAAACTTAGCATATATCTAAATATGTGGGCACCATGGTTGAAACAATCATTCATATCTTTTTAGAGTTAGAGTTGATTCCGTAGTCCCATTAATTTTTAACGTTGTATCGACGTTACATCGTTCTCATATACATATTTTTGCAATAGATAAAGGGTCAGTAATGAATCAATGAGACTGTAAAAGACATTTTTTTAAATAGTAACGGATAAGTTACAGACTATTTCTTGTGCATTTGAAGCTACAGTTTGGAACGAGTGCTGAGCTTCTCTGACTGACAGACAGATGGAAAGAAAATTAAATTTTTGACTTTTAAAAAGTACCTAATTAAAGATTAATTGAAATAAGTGTTTTGACTTTGACTTTGAAATCATAACAGAATCTGATAAGTTTTTCTTCTTGATTGGTTCTTATTTTTGTATTTTTACATTTTCTATATATTTCACGGAATTTACAGCATTCTGATTTTTTTTTTCAGGCGACTTATTAGCAAGGAGTACGGTATACCTATCACTGGTGCCTGGATGACGTCACCCGGTACACAAAAGGCTGCGGAGCGTGATGGCTGGGAGACTGTATGCGAGCTTAAGTTCGCAGACTTGGAGAAGAAGTTCAACGTCACCTATGAGAAATTTCCACCGACCAATAAATTTATGATAGCTAGAATACAACTTTAAAATTAATATTATGTACACATTTTTTATCAAAATCATTTAATAATATATAATATGTGATATTCACACTGATTTTAAGAAAATATTAAGATACGATTCTCTATACATACTGTTTTACTTTAGAGATACTAGTCTCACAATAGGACTTAAATTCTATGAAGCTTCTATTCCCCCGAGCCCTTTCCATCATCGTACCACAAGACAATCGGCGAAGCGTCACCGATTCATGATAGATGTCCCACGAAGCGCTTCGCATCAAGCTTCCTTGTGGGTCCTGCTATGGAGTGGAATTCTTTTCTTTCAAGACCCGAGTGAATAGGTTGCTTATGGGGCGACGTGCTCCATCGTAGACTGCATCATCATTTACCACCAGGCGAGATAGTGGTCAAACGTCGTCCCAACAAATATATATAAAAGAGCTTAAATTAAAACTGCATATCCGATAAGACTACATTATTATCATTAGTGTTTCTTTTTCTGTGACAATGTATTGTTAGACTGTAAGCCACAGAATTGAAGTTGTCATAATCTGCGTGTTTGATAGGCATGTTACAAAATAACTTATAATACTTAGTAGATAGTGATTATATGAATGTTCATCACGTGCAAGCGATTAGATAAACGTAGCTTGGATAGAGTACAATATGTCAGTAAATAAATGTTTAAGTTTAGCTAATGTAATTAAAATGGTTGAGGTATGTCGTGTTGAGAAAAACGAATGCTCAAAATAGTCTTGACATTAAAAAAGAATGTATGTCTAGTTTAATTTTTCAAAATCTTCGTTTCGCACGGTAATTTGTTGTTGAGACGAGATTATTAGGTTGATAATGTTGGCCACTAATCAACAGAAAAATTTGAAAGTTCTAAGAGAAGATTTAAGTTACAAAGGTTATAAATGTTTAATTTTTTATAGGTAAACGACCAATCTGAAGCTATGAAGCAATTTTTTCGAATCACGTCAGCAATATGTTATCTGTGTATACGATTTTACAAGGAAATTTGATCAGCCCCAACACCGCGCTTTATTGACAGCGGTATTTTTGTACATACCAAGTGGAGGGCATGGCATTCCGGAGGTACTGAAAGTCAGGTCAGGATAAAATGCTGTCTCTTGATACTTTTTATTAAACTTTGCACAGCATCTTGGCAAGTTGCATATTAATGCACTGTCCCCACTACGGCGACGTCTCCGCCTCTTCGTTTCTTATTGATATGGAGACGTGCCACCCTCTGACCGAACAAACACAAAGTACCTTCTTATATTAAATCTAATATGAAACTGAACTAACTGACTGAAGACGTAAAATATTTCGAAGCCTTAATTATAGAGTTTTAACTCTAAATTGTTGATAAGTTACCTACTATTAATTGTTTTAAGCGATTACTTTGTTAAGAAATTATGGAGTAGCAACGCATGGAGCGTGGATAACGTCATTTTTTTACCCAGAAAGCTGCTTGCACGAGATCGGTGGGAAACTGTAGCTGAGATACAGTGGAATGATTTTGGGAAGAAACATCGAAAGAGGCGTCTCTTTTTATAATCAACCTCCATGTTTTCTGACAGCAAGAATCATATGAAAAAAAAAATGTTAGCATGTACAACAGGGGTGTTTTCTTATAACATTTATAAAAGTTATTTATGAAATCAATGAATCGTGTTAATTGTGATAATTAGAGTATAAAGGTAAAATTAAACGATTTGGGCTTATTAATGTATTGTTGAAAATAACAACCAAATTACCACTAGTTCAAATAAAGGTAAGAAAGTACTTAACTCGTCGAGTACCGGTTTTATAGACACAATTAAAGAACAATAGGTCGCGGTCACCGGTGACCGCTTGGTGTTTGACAGTTTAAATAATAATATACGCCGACTATTACAAATAAAAAGAAAAACTATTACTTGTTGAATTAAAAAAGAAGGACAGTGTCTATATTTAAATATAGGTATGATTCAATTCTAAAGTGGTATTCTAGCGATCATAAACTTCGTGGAAGGTGGATGTCTCCCGTAGGTGACGTTGAACTTCTTCTCCAAGTCTTCATACCGGAGCTCGCAGACAGTCTCCCAGCCGTCACGCTCCGCAGCCTTCTGTGTACCGTATGACGTCATCCAGGCTCCGTTGATAGGTATACCGTACTCCTTGCAAATAAGACGTCTGAAAATATCAATAACTAGCTTTTACCCGCGGCTTCGCTCGCGTCACAAAAGGATAAAAAGTAGCCTATGTGACATATACCAATACATACAGCGCCATCTTTACCAATACTTTTGTTTTCTCTCGGGAATATCAAATTTTTCCGGGTTAAAAAGTACCCTATTATTTAATCCAGACTTCTAACTTTACGTCTGCAAAAATTCAAAGCAATCGGTTTAGTAGTTACGGCGTGAAATCGGAACAAACAAACAAACTCACTTTCCGATTTATAATATTAGTAAGGATAACTGAAAGTGGTTCAATGATATTGTTGTATGACACAGAAATGATTATTATTATGATACCGACCTGACTCTGAGAAATTCCTGGCCAATCCCAAGGCCTCTGTACTCAGGACATACAACGAGCCCCCTATCACTGAACCAAGGGTCTAAGTTGAATACTTTAACTTCATCGTACATTTTACTCGTAGCATCCATTATCTCCGTGACTTTCATTAATTCTTTTGACTTAAATCCTCCCTGAAAAAGGACGGTAGTATACAATACATAATACGTAGATAAGGAATACATAGGTAGTGTGGGAGAGCCATGCTTCGGCACGAATGTGCCGGCTCAACAGTAGTGATACCTTAGCCTCATAGAAAACCGACGTGAAACAACGCTTGCGTTGTGTTTCGTTGTGTGAGTGAGGTTTAATCCCCGAATCCCCCACAATCCTCAATTTTCCAATTCCCTAAAGGCCGGTAATACTTGAAATGCCTCTGGTTTTTCAGGTGTCTAAGGGTGGCGCCGATTGCTTACCATCAGGTGGTCCGTCTGCTCGTTTACAGGCTTACACAACAAAAAAGAACATTAATATCAAGGTAAATAATATATGTATGATCATTTACTTTAATAACTTTTTAGAGATTTATTACCTCTGGTTTCGGATCGTCTTTTCTAGTTAAAGCCATAATTGATGACCCAATAATTTCATTTATCTGATCATTATCGTTGTCTAAACAGCATACAACAATATGATGATTTTCCATATTTAACATGTTTATTATAAATTCAGTTATTTCTTCCACTGCTTCTGCACTTTCTGCCACTCCTAAAATAGGTAAATATAATATATATTTCCTTAAGTATATCTATCTAAGGTAAAAATTGTTTTGACAATTTTAATTTATTTATAAAACACCGACCAATTATGAATTAGGCTCGAGTACGAATAGTACCATTCAATTAGCATTCAAAATCTTCTTCTTCTTTTTACGGAACTTTCTTAAATAATGAAGTTATCTATATATATAAAAGAAAGTCGTGTTAGTTACACCACTTATAACTCAAGAACGGCAGAATAGATTTGGCTGAAAATTGGTAGGGACGTAGCTTAGAGCCAGGAGACCGACATAGGACACTTTTTGACCAAAATTTTTTTTTTTACTTTTTACCGAAAATCACGAACGGGGACGGGAAAAAATGGGATTACGCGTACGAAGTCGCGAACAGAAGCTAGTTTATTATGTTTTTATTATTTAGAAGGCAATAAAAACACATAATCTATAATAATAATAAATGGTAAAATACACTCACTTGCTGCCTTCAGGGTGCTTTCTTCTGGTACAAAATACTTAAGGTTGATATTTAATACTTTTTCTAGTACACTGGGATCTCGAGGCATATCCATTATGCGTAATTTCAGGACACTGCCATCTTTCCTAGTCACTGAGAACTTAGACCACATCTTATTCGACTTAGGCATAATGATAATCAATGTTTATGTGGGTACCTACAATGTACGTTAAAGATCTATTTTTTTTTCGTAAAATTCGATTTCTTCCCAACGCTAAAACAAAGTAAACGTGTGAAATAAGGAACGATTTTGTGAGCATACTGACAGTGTTATCAGTTAGTGTTACCTAAGTCATATGAGATAAATACCCATTATAAAAAAAACGTAGCTAACCTTCAAAGTATGTCAAATAAAGAATTTTAGAAGTTATTCGAGGATTTAGCATACTATTTGGTGTTTAATAAAGTTTTCACAGAGGAACAAATAAATAGGTGCACTTATTAGATAACCGTTTACTATGTTTCATACATAATATAACATAACGACTATAGCTTATTTTTAGAACATTATTTTAATTATTTTGTTTATAGAATAGATCAATGAAAATTAAAACGTTTAAAGTGGTATTCTAGCGATCATAAACTTCGTGGAAGGTGGATATCTTCCGTAGGTGACGTTGAACTTCTTCTCCAAGTCTTCATACTGGAGCTCGCAGACAGTCTCCCAGCCGTCACGCTCCGCTGCCTTCTGTGTACCGTATGACGTCATCCAGGCTCCGTTGATAGGTATACCGTACTCCTTGCTAATAAGTCGTCTGGAAACATTAACATAGTTTAGGAATTATTCAAATAATATTATACTGTATCGGTTGTAATAAAAGAGGTACGTAAGAATCGTAGCAATTGGGGTTCCCTAGTCCCCCCCCCCATGGGAGACAGACGTGAGGTTATGTATGTGTTTGTTCATTTCGTGAACCTATAAGTGACGTCATTTCGATACTTTAATTTAAATGGATATTATCGCCAGTACGACATTTAAAAAAATATAGTCGTCATTCCATTTATTTAGGTAGGATAAAATAAGTTGAACCAACCTGACTTTAAGAAGCTCTTGTGCAATTCCGAGGCCTCTGTACTCTGGGCATACAACAATCCCTCTGTCAAGGAGATAAGGATCTAAATTGAATGCCCTCAGATCATCGTAAATCTCTGCTAGATCTTCTGCCATCTGAATAAGTTTCTGCATTGCTTTTGTCTCGAACTTTAACTGTAATTGTCAAATACCTAATAAGTATGTATATTTTATATTAAATTCATTTGGTGCCAAAGGGTTAAGCATTAACTATTTGGTTTTTGGTTCTTATAATAGAGTGAACTCGGCAGTATGTATTCTTCTCTTTAATATTTGTAATGAAAAATTAATGTCATATTTAATATCTCTTTTTTGAGGGGGAAAAATCATTCAATGACATCTTTCGCCTTGGGTTAGACTCAAACTGACTAAAACCAACCCGTTCCTACTCCTGCTTTTTGACCCGGAGCCTCGGTAACCAGTTAGGCCATCCGCGGCTTGATTTAATACCTCTACCATATGACTAGATGAATTCAATGGTGCATTGTATTTGATTACCTTCTTTTCTGCCTCTTCCCTTGTCATGTACATCATTAGTGATGCTCCCATCAGCTCCTTGATCTGGTCGTCTCCGTTGTCCAAGCAACAAACGCTGAACACTGGTTTTTCATTGCTGACCATATAAGTAAAGGCTCCCCTTAGTTCTTGCATTGCTTCTTCACTTTCTGGAACTCCTAAAATGAAATACGACGAAGAATAATAATATTTATAATTATCGTAAGATAAATTAAAACTTTCGTGAGACATACTAATTAATTATTCAGTAACTCGACTAGTTTCAAGCCATGCTAGGGGCTCATATTCATGAGCAACATTCCACGAGCGTCGTTCCTCTTCAAACAGTTACGTGAGTAAGCCGAAAACATAATAATTATTTATTAAGATATATTTCAAAATCTTAAAAAGTACAGATGGAATTACCTGCTGCTTTGAATGTGCACTCTTCTTTTACAAAATAATTGAAAAAGCAATCCATTACTTTTTCTATCACATTCGAATCTTCTGGCATATCCACAATACGTAGATTGAGAACACTGCCATCTTTTTTGGTGACTGAGAATTTGGACCACACTTTTAGAGGCTGAGACATGGTGATTATAATATTCAATAAATAAATAAATAAATGGTTTCTTAAGGAGTTTGGAGTACTGCTATCACCAGAACAGTGTTCTAAATACTGACACAATAACAGTTCATTGTATTTGTATCAGTATTATTAGAAAACTTAAAAACTGTCATAGAGTTCACCTTACTCTTTGATATTAGTAACTTATTTGTTTTATACCACATTGGATTTTAGAAACTCAGGAGGCAGGAGAAATAAAGAGTACCACCATTACAATTCATGAATTCACCTTATATTGTTAACATCGAAATCAAATTACAAATTCAGAATTAGCTAAACCATAACTATTAATTGGAAAGAAAAACAACAACAATAACACATGAATAGGCAAATTGACTTTCAAATAGAATAAAATTCCCTCAACACCAAATACACCGTCTCAATAATTTCCGAGTTCCCGCCATCTTGACTTTTTCATTGTTCGAACCACAGATTATATTTTCCCGCTACGCGATGACATTTCGTTCCTTTTTGTCTATGCTTCTAACACGGCCTCTCCTGACTGGAGCACGTCCTCGTGCTCCTGTGTCGCACTGTCGCATATTTACAGCACACGCTCCGTAGCAGGGACCTCACCGCGGCTTCTGGCAGCTTGTTCAGCTGTGAACTCTATACTATTTGCATCTGAGAACATAAGAATTGGATCGGGACGACGGTGGTTACCGGCGGTCACATCGATCCATATTAAATCGTTAGCGCAGGTCACAAAAAAATAGCCAGAGAGGAGGCACAACATTAGCTATCTCGGTTAATGTGGACCACATGATAGGCATCATATTACCGTATCACATGATCCATGGAAACAACATAATCATCACTTGAGAACATAAGGATTAGGTCGGGACACCGGTTTTTTCCGAAGACACATCGACCCATATTAAATCGTTAATCTTATCAATTACCAAAAACGTGACGTGTGAGTTCAATACCTTCCGCACCTGAAATTATAAAAATTGCATCGGGATGTCGTTGGTTACCGACACAAACAACTACATGTTCACATTGATCCATAATAATTCAAAATACAGGCAGAGAGGAAGCACTACGTTAGCTATCTCTACTATAACAACTACATGACAGGCACAACGTTAGCATATCATAAGTCACCAACACAGTAAAGTAATCAATAGTGAACTAGAGGCAAGACGTTAGCGTAGCTCACAATCATAAAACATACTCAGAGAGGAAGCACTACGTTAGCTATCTCTGCTATAACGACTACACGACATAGGCACGACGTTAGTGTATCATGAGTCACGAACACAGGAAAAAACACAATCAATAGTGAACCATAGGCACGACGTTAGCATAGTTCACGATCATAAAACATACTCAGAGAGGAAGCACTACGTTAGCTATCTCTGCTATAACGACTACATGACATAGGCACGACGTTAGCGTATCATGAGTCACGAACACAGGAAAAAACACAATCAATAGTGAACCATAGGCACGACGTTAGCATAGTTCACAATCATAAAACATACTCAGAGAGGAAGCACGACGTTAGCTATCTCTGCTATAACGACTACATGACATAGGCACGGCGTTGGCATATCATAAGTCTCAAACACATGTGTAATAATTAATACCTACGTTAGCATATTTTTCACACGCACATTACACACACAATACGCATCAGATATCACACAATGTTAGCGTACCATATTGTGTGGGAAGGACACATTTCTACAGTCCGAAGCTATCCACATAGCACTAGAAACTCCGCCACAGTCTGTGTCGCGTTTCCACACGAGTATACCATCTATTAGCAGTCGTAACACTTAGCGCTGTAGCCTTCACCACACTACACACCACACCACACTCGATCTTGTCAGACGTTCTGTATCCGCTCGGACACACCTGACTATGACTTTTAGTCCATCCTAAATATTCTTTTGATGGAATCCTGTAATCATACACATGATTATTGATCATCGGTAAAACTTACTTCAATTTTTTTTTTATCACGCAATCAACATGGTTCACATGTGAAACAAGTGAATTTATTTCTGCAAATAGACTACAAGGCAGCACTTTTACACGTCAATTTTATCAAGCGAACTATGAGGTCGACATTTCCTAACTGACTACTCTGAGAAGAAATGCCGAAACAAACTCAGAGGTCTGTCTCTTAAGTCCAGACAAATATGTATAAAAAGATTATGTGTGAGAACCGTGCAAGTTCTCTCTGTAGTGGCCTTTTGAGGAAAGAACCACAACAGTTTGAGCGGACCCGTTCTGAAAGCAGTATGCATGTGTCGGTTTACAGTCAGCTCAATTAACAGATGAGGCTGAGTGATTCGACGAACAATACCAACCTAAAGAACATTTGCGTGGGTCGCACAAATACTCACAACTGTCAGAGTATGAGTAAGAAATAAGAAAAGAAAAGTCTCGCACGGTCCTAGCACTAACAATTGTAAAAAATAGAGGTAAATGTCAAGTTTAAAAAAATATAAATTTTTCAAATGAAAAACAATATCACATTATGCTAATAATGTCAAATTGCATATAAAAAGAAATGTAACTATATGTGTCAATATGTAAAACGATGTCGTCAATATGTAAAACGATGCCTACAAGTAAACGTTACTTATCGCCAGTCAGCTAACACAAGTAACACTAGCGGTTCAATACGTGGACATCGTTGTTGCTGACAATAAGAAGAGTTTTCATAAAATCCAGCATGAAACCTCTCAAGTAATATATCAAGGTGACAAACTCGAAATAGTACACTGAAAGCTGGGTTGTGTACATATTTGAAATTTTAAGCAAAAAACGATAACAAATTAGGCATCATCTCTCTCTCAGCATACAATGATGTATCCTGACGCTCTACGGAGTCTAGTCACGTTTCTAGGAGGAACAACCGATCCATACAACAGCTTGTTCCCAAGAAGTAGAAAGTACTCTCGGCCTTCTAAGAGGTTACTCATGCGGTGGACAAACCAAATTAAGTCTGTATTTAGCAATTTGCTAAACAAGTGCAAAAGGGACATACATATTATGGCTGTAACTGTGAGGTGCATACTGGCAACCTACCTCCATTACAGTACAACAACTACATAAACACTATCAAGAGTAACGCTGCTAAGGAGAAACAAATACATACTGCTGTCTACCATTATTTATTTATTTATTTATTTATGGATTGGAAAACCAACAGCTACACATAGCAAACAAACAGATAACATAATAACAACAGAAAGCCAATTACAGGTTTTCACGAATAGATTTCACATTATTCAATTAAAACAAAACACTCACAGTCCAAACAAATACTTCGTTTAGGGAAAGAAAATAAAAAAAAAAAACAACAAGAGCATATACCAACAATAAAAAACATAAAAAAATAAACACACACCAACCATACTACCAACAATAACAAATTAATATTAAACCAAGTTACCCACTTAATTTTATATCAAATTAAAAAACTGTAGGGTGAGCATCCTTCGCACCGTAGAAGTCCGCGTTACAAACGGATCTATTGGATACTCCTTACACAGGTTGTTTAAGTCTCTGCTTGCACGCATAATAAAGGAATTCTGCCTATACCTCGTTGAGGAATTCCGAATTAAAAGTGGGGGATTGTAACGAATAGATCTGCATGGGACATTGAAAGAGAGTTTGAACAAGAGATCGGGACAGTCAATTTCATTTGAGATGATTTTTAGCAGTGTGGTACAATCCGCTATCCGACGGCGATTGGTAAGGGGCAGAATATGAAACTGCCTACAAAATTCCAGATATTTGTCTGAGCTATATGGAACATGAAGTTTGAAGCAAAGAAATTTAATAAAGCGCTGTTGAATTGCCTCCAAACGCTGGATGTAAGTACTGTAACAGGGATTCCATATTTGCGATCCATATTCTAAGTGGCTTCTTACATAAGTGCAGTACAAAATCTTGAGCGTTTTTGCCTGTTTGAAATCTTTAGAGACCCTCATAATAAAGCCAAGTGCTCTATATGCCTTACCAACTATCTCTTCAATATGGTCATCAAACAGGAGTTTACGGTCGTGGTAAACGCCCAAGTCCCTCACTACATCGCATCTGGGTACCACCTGCATCCTCAATCTATAAGTTGTTGGCAATGTGCTACGTTTACGACTATAAGTAATAACTGAACACTTCGCAGGATTCAGGTCCAGTTTGTTACGCTGACAATATTCATCTAGTCGATCCAAATCCGACTGAAGAGCCATCATGTCATTGAAGCACGAGACAGCTGAATAAATCTTCATGTCGTCAGCGAAACAGAGTAAATGAGAAGAATGGAAACAAGAATCGATGTCGTGCACGTATAATATGAAGAGTAAGGGGCCCAACAAAGAGCCTTGTGGGACCCCGCTAGGAACGGGTACCCAACTAGATATATAATTATTGATAACAACGGCCTGAGTCCTGTATGCAAGATATGATGCGAACCATCGAAGCAAATCCCCGTGGATACCTGCAAGCCATAATTTAGATAGGAGAATTCTGTGATCTATTCGATCGAAACATTTCGAATAATCTGTATAGACTACATCGACCTGAGCTCCACCATCCATGCTTCGCGACACGAAATCGTTCAGTACAGCCAAATTAGTAACAGTCGAACGACCCCTCAAAAACCCGTGTTGGAAGGGACTGAAACAATTCCTAAGAGCCGCGTAGACCTGATCATATATCACCCTCTCAAATACTTTGCCCAAGATACATAACTTTGAGATAGGTCTATAGTTGGTGACTTCAGTTTTTGGACCTTTTTTATGCACGGGTGTAATATAGGCAGACTTCCAGACTTGGGGTACAGTACCTGTAGATAAAGATTTTGTAAACAATAGGGAGACTGGGAGAGCTATAGATTTAGCACACTTAATAAGAAATTTGGGTGATATGTTATCCGGCCCAGCGCCCTTGTGAGGGTCGAGGTTGAACAATAATCTCATAATTGAATCGACCTTAATTTCAAT